TTTTGATCATATTCTTTGGAAGAATGCGCATAGCCACACAGTTTTGAAGCGTAGTGCTAACCCGATAAATTTTTATCCTACATTTCACAGACCTGTGATGAATCCGAGCTTGTTGAAAGGATAAGTAGACGCCAATTTCAAGAAGGCACTCCATTAATTGACGTGCTGATATCAGAGGGCGTGGTAGAGGTGTTTACACTACACGACCACAAGGCTGGTAAAGAGCTGCATCGTGCGGCGATGCGTTCGGTGAATATGCCGATACAAGGACTGTTCGAATACTTTGGGGCTGAGCTTGGAATGTATTATGCCTGGGTTGATTGCTACTGCCGCATGCTGGTCATCCCGTCAGTGCTTGCGATTGTGCTCCTAGTTATAGGCACGGGCCCTTGGGGACGCGGGATGGTCTCACATGATCTGGAGGATACCCTCTCGGCCATATATGCGTTCGTTATGATCATCTGGGCGTCCATATTCGTCAAGGTGTGGGAGAGAGAGGCCTCCAATAACTCACTCAACTGGACAGACGACACCACAAGCGATGCTATCACCGACCAAGCCTCGGCAAATAGAGGCGATGGGCGTGTGCGCCCAGGCTACACAGGCAAGCTGCGCAAAGACCCTGTGACCGGCAGGACAGAAGTGCACTTCACGGCCAAGGATCGCAGGCTACGCACGCTTGTGATTGCGCCGGTGATGGTTGCGATGATTGGGGCAGCCTTTGCGGTCATGGTGTTTGGCCTGAACATCACGGGGTATGTGGACGAGGACTCGCCCATCTACTACTCTATTCTCAATGCGCGCAACCCGGGCACCCCAGGCATGAACTATCCGGACGACAATGTTATAGTGGGATTGATTCCGACCATTGTGCACTCTGTGGCCATCCTTCTGTTGAACTTGTGGTTCGCCAAGATTGCCGAGAAGATGTGTGAGTACCAGAACTGGCGCACCCAGGAGGAGTTTGAGGCCTCTTTGATACTGAAGCGTGTGCCGTTTGAGATGTTGGCCAGTTACCTGTCGCTATTCTACCTGGCGTTCTACGAGGGTGACCTGAGTAAGCTTAAGCTAGAGCTGCAGGCCCTGTTCATGGTAGACACCGTGAGACGCATGGTCATGGAGTTTGTACTGCCATGGCTGCTTCAGTTCAGAGCGCTTAAGGAGCAGCTCAAAGCAACCGATATGAAGAAGTCAAAGTCAGTAGACGAGAGTGAGCTCGAGAAAAAAGTGAAGAAGGCTTTCATCAAAGATGAACGGGTGGATTTCGATGACTACATTGAGTTGACGGTGCAGTTTGGGTACATAGTTTTGTTTGCGGGTGCCTTCCCCATTGCTGGGTTCCTGGCCCTGGCAGGCAACGTCTTAGAAATGCGCACAGATCTATCCAAACACTTGCACGTGTGTCGTCGGTCAGCGTCGCGTCACGCCAATAACATTGGTCCGTGGCTGCCTGTGCTGAAAGTCATATCCGACCTGTCGGTCTTAACCAATGCGGTGATATTCGCATACACTTCGCGGCAACTGGACTCGTTCATGACCGATGACACAGACTTCGCATCCAATGCAAACAATACAGCGATGCGCATGATGGCTATCTTGCTTACCGAGCATATACTGTTTGTGATCAAGAAGGTTGTGGAGACGGAAATCAGTTCTATACACAAGACTGTGTTCACCACATATCAGAGGCGGGACTACTTGCGCATACTGGGGTTGAACTTATTTCAAGCCGAGCAACAGAAGAAACACGAGTGAATGGAACGAGATTGATCACCTTTTACTGCAAAACTAATACTGAGTGAGTAACACACGTAGCTATATGGTTTCAGGCTTCAAGGCAGACAATCTTTGTGTCCATAGACTAAATAAAGGAAATATCCAAGCTGGCCATCGAAAAGAAACCATCGAAACGAAAAGTAAGAGTATTCATTATGAACACACTACTCCGCTGAGAAATAGAACAGTTATGCAAGGTCTACTAGGAATGTTTCTTGGTAAAATGGTGATGGGGGTGGTTGTTGTTGTTGTTGACGACATCTTCTACTATTTGTGTTAAAGGTCTACAGATAAATTGATTCGTAAGGGTATAAAAAGAATGGACCTGAACACTAAAAATCACATTTCCGCTGAAACTCAGCGTGTTGATAGCAGGCGGGCAATAAGCAAAAAGATCTCGGGTGCAGCTGTGATGCAATTCACGATTTACAACTGTACGACATTTAAATTTGGTAGCGGACGGGATCTATAGTGGTGACAACTATGGCCCCCTTTAGTAAAGTGCACACTACCCACGAAGTTTTAGCAGTGGTGGTAGACTCGCTGGCCTTTGTGTTTCACGCGCTTTCAAATACAATTTACTAGCAACCAATGTCGGAGTCCTTTGCCATAAATACTAGTCAAAGTTTACCTGGTGACGTGATATTGCATCAGATGGAAAGTTGGGTAGCAATATTAAATATTATAATTTTAATTCAAATGTGTATTGTCATGCCGTAGGTACATTTACGTATGCATTTCGCAATGGTATGTGCGATTGTTGTCTTCCTTGGTAGCTCACAATGAGCCATTGCACACCATGTGTCAACATCAAATCACTCGAGATTGTACTCCACTCTGTACTAATAACATGGGCGTGCCCCACGTGCAGCAAGCTTGTATCGACAACGTGTCGAGGTTAAGTTGTCAATACGTCTCGACGTCATTTCGTTGTGCTTGTTGTGTACGATAGCTGCCTTGGCAAGTCATGTTGCACTCAACACTTGTGGTGGACAACTCATGGAGAGTCAAACGTAGATGCGCATGATTAGTGGTATTGGTTGGCTGAGGAGCTTACCTCAGCGCATCGCAAGCGTTTGGTATAGTGCCTACTTATCAACCGAAGACATCTTGCTCATGATTAGTTGATGAGGCATGTGAATGGTATAGTGGCCAATTTTGAAAATATGCAAATATTTAATCGCTGTATTTTTTCTAACTGCTTGAGATGAAGACCCCCGCCAACGAGTTTCTTGACTTTATGAAGTCTCCTCGCCGTCTTACAAAGCCTTAATGTAGTACAATGTAACTCTATTTCTACTACTTTTGCGGATGTATGGTTGATTCAAATGATTGACCGTGCAACCGAGCGTTTTCTTCACGCTAGTTGAATCTCTTTCCCAACCAGTTTGAACTTTCCTTTCGTTTTCTTAATCTCGGCTTGTATCCATTCGCTGTACTTCTGAATATTCATGTACACGCCCGGCTTACCCGCTTCTCCACAGCCCTCACCCCATGAGACCATACCTATCTGTACAAACATGTTTGCATCCTCTACTAGTATATAACCCGGCACTTGTGGCGCATCACCAACCTGTTCAGAGCCATCAATCTCCGTGCTGACTTGGGCTTCACTGCTTAAATTGTCAGTCTCGTCCGTATTATTGTTCTTGTTCGCAGTCGAGTTATTTAGAGTGCCTGGTTCTATCGAATTTTTCATATGCTCGTATATTGCGTCATACAAGGCGTCCCAAGCTTCGTCCGACATCTCATTAGGCAGTCCGGCTACCTTAGACTCCGTTATTGTTTCCAGTATATCGCTGGCCAAACTCACACGTACTCCAATTTCTTCTCCTTCAGTCGTCATTTCACTTTGCCGCTCTAGTTCCGTTTCTAGCTCGAGCTTCATTTGCGCTTCACTGATATTCAATTCATTTCCAATGTCAGCTACCATTTTTATGAACTGCTCGTTCTCCATATCGAGTTCGAGCACGCCTGTTTCCTTCACTATCACTTTCGACTTATGCACAACTGTTTCTTGTGAGGGAGCTTCAGTCCTTTTTAATTCACTGATACTTCCACTTGACGTATCGTTTCGAGTGGTATTTACACTCTCATTTGGGCTCGACGCTGGAGTAGCATCACTGGGCCCGTTAGCGCGTGTTGAGTTAGGCGAGTATGAAGTATTATCTCCATGCATACGTACAATTAATGGGCCACCCGAGTCACCTGCAAAAAGAAAGCAGTGACGAGTTAGAACTGACTTGTGTTAGACTAGCAACTCGTGAGTCGCAACGGGTGGAAGTATATACGAGTTACTTACTACCTCAGTCACAACGTTCTCCAGGGCCATGTGCACTCTTAAAAGAAATCACAGAAACACATCTTACCTACACAGGTGTCGAACATCCCCGTTTTAAATCCTGCACACAGCTGTGTGCTCGCATCATACTGTGACTCATAAGCTTGGATACATTCCTCGTCAGACATCACGGGAACTACCACTTCATGCAGAAAATCGGCCATTCTGTACACGTTCTGTTTTTCAAATCCCCATCCCATGGCGATAGCCTTTGCCCCTGGTAGGTGTAGCTGCGAGCTACTATCAGTGTTCAGTTGCATGTAGTGAGCTATTTTATACGGCTTATCTAAACGGAGAAGCGCCAAGTCGTCAAAAGTCGTTCCTGTCGATGTGATCAGAAAGGTCGGGTGGGGAGTATAACTGTGTAAGAGCCTGGTTTCACTAACCAGGTTGCTATCATACGACCCGAAGTGTATCACCATTCCATTACCTCGCATTCCCTGAGTACAATGCCCTGCCGTCAATACCCAGCTTTCGGATATCAACGAGCCCCCACATATGTGGTTGCCCGTGGAGTTACTACGCAAGGAAACCATCCAGGGGTATACCTTGTGAAACACCGCCTCGTTCACCACGCTTCCCCCAATTATCCTGACAGTAGGAGTAAGAGCTTCCTTATCCACACTCATTGCATCGACACTGAGCAGTGCAGGTATGCTTGCGGCAAGCATTAAGAGTGTCTGCCAGAGCGATGCCATGCTGAATAGCTGTTGTTGGACCGGTACTATTCTTATTACTTTTCTATTGGTCACCTAGTGTCAATTATGACTGTGTTACCCGTATTTTAAATTTATAAATGAACTAGTATAATCGTGATAGGTCATACGTGCAATGTCTCGAATCCTTGTCTGTACGAAATTTGAACACATCCGATGGAGCGACACACGGAGTGCAAGTTGCACTGACAATACTAGGTACTCAGCAGATATACATGCCAATTTTTAAATGACGAACACCATGTAATTATGTCGGATTATAACTTTGAACTTTCATTTTTATTTAGCACTTGTGAGCAGCAATTAAAGGACCGGCCATGGTGATGAAAACGTGTACCGGCACTTGATTCTTTTACTGGCAACAGTTTAACAGTACCTATGTAGTGTTCTCCGACTCACCCAGAAAAACACCACTACATATCTGCAATCCGTAATAAGAAATATAAAATTGAATAGGCACCAATCAAATATCTTTAATGTTTCTGGTAACAAGGGGTTCAAGCCAATCGACATGGGCCGATGACTTCGTGATCTTTACTCGCTCTGAATTGTCGAGAGTTTCTACAACGAATGAAGCAATCAAATCAAACCAGACTCAATTTAAATCGGAATTACATAGTGTTCACCAAGAGACTAGAGAGAGCAAATGAAACATGCGAGAGACGAGACTGCGAGAGTCATTTCCAAGAGTAATTTTTAATGACCCACTGTCGGTTTCCGACTTTCCAGTTTCCGGGGTTGTCCCTGTTGACTGTTGAGGCTGTGACAGTGTGACCGAGTCCCTCTCAGGCTCTCTCACTCTCATAGTATACAGTACTGCTATTCACATTTCAACTTTCAACCCCAGGCTGTGTGTCTGTGTGTCTTTGTATGTATCACCTCACCCCAGTCACCACTCAGTACTCACCATTGACTGATCCAGACCCAGTCTCTCGCGATTAAAATTAGAGAGTGACTGATCACTGATGAGCCGATGAGGTCGACCGTCTGAGCCTCTGAGTTTGAAGAGTGCGACCGTCTGAGCCTCTGAGTCTGAAGACTGAGTGAAGACTGAAGACTCGAAGAGACTACTAAATAGTAAATACTACTACATAGTTTACTACTAAATAGTAAATACTACTACATAGTCTACTACTACATACTCTACTACTAAATAGTAGTAGAGTAGAGCGAGTTAGAGAGACGACAGTAATTCGGCCACTAATAACATAGCCTCCAATATACATTGAACAAAGGAGGTTAATCAGGCTATGCCAATAAAATAAAATAAAATTTTACAAAATGACCACATCTGTTTTTTTTTGACCAACCAGAATATTTTTTGATCTCTTTTTTGTTATTTTTGTTGTTTTAACAATAACCTAAACCCTAAAGCTCTGGACTACTGGTAAATAGTACAAGGGACTACAGGGTTAAACCCCAAGAGAAAATCCTACTATTTACGTATGTATGTACATATGTACTTATTTGTTTTTTTATTAAGAAAAGTACTTAGGTACATACTACATAGTAGTGAAGTAGACTGGAGTTGACATAAATATTTAGATGAGTCAGAGTGAGAACGCCTATGAAAAGGCTATTTTTAAAAAGAGATAAAAAGTAGAAAGCGTAAGCCGGAAAGCCGTAAATAAAAAAAATTATTTACACATATTTATAATTAAATAAAAACAAATGTGTGGTTTTTATATATATAAAACTTTATTATAAAGTCAAACAAACACACAGTCTGAGTTCTGACGGTGACGGTCACACTCACACACTGTCACACAGTCACCCAAAACAAGCAAGTTCACAACACTAGGCCACAACAACAAGTGTAAATACAACTGAGACACACACAGTTACACACTGGCACTTGACAGTCTGACAACATGTTTTTCTATAAAGTCATCACTGACAGAAAAAGTGTACATCACAGAAAATTTAATAATTATGTATGCCTGCGAACTGTTATCGGTGAGATCAGTACTATAGGCCAATTAAAACGTAACTACTGATATTAACTGAGTAAAAATACTACAAATGACTATGTAAAAAACTGTCGCGTCTTCTGATAGATAGTTAACCAATAGGACAGTATGACTCCTTGACTACGTGGCACTTTGTAACTCCAGGGAGGGTTATGGAAATTCACAAAATAGATTGTTTTTCATTCTTTCCCCCTTAAATTTAGTAAATGCGTATTGAGAGTGGTTGTGCACCCAGAACACAACACAGCTGCACATATGTTAATATTAGAAATATGTGTTTTGTATCATTATCATGAACATACAATGATCGACTACTCGTCATACAACTATGGAATATCCTGTTGCCGATCGCTATTCATTGCCGATTTAGGAACTCATCACCTTATTGCACCCCATGCACCGAATTTATTTTGTGAAGTGTAAGCGATTATTGAGATAATACCCTACACGGAATACAGTTTGTCTACGAAACCTACAAATCAAGCATCTCCTACCAACTTCACGTGAAAGAGTAGTTGCCCATCGTTGAAGTTCAAAGCACGCTATGTCTTAAATTAAAGCCGAATGTGAAGGACAACATGTGTACTGTGAAGAACTCGGTCGAATGTCTTAGTCAACTAACATCCTCTCGAAATTTAGAGAAGATGGCGGTGAGTAGTGTTGTTGTATATACATAGACATATAGACTGTAACCCATTTTCAATACTATATCTACTATTCTGTATATTCAAGATTGGGTCTAGGCTAAGATTGTAGCTGTTTACTATATAATAATTCAAGTGTATATGGATATATATGTATAGGTATATGTATATGTGTAGATATATAATATAAATG